CCAACATCTCTTTGCACACAGTGACTTTATACCCCCACCCTCACCCTGGGCTTCTTACAGGCCAGGGCCCAGTGGCTTCTGCAGGATTTATGACTATTTTCTTGGAAGTCCGTGATCAGGGAGTAAGGAAAGGTTCTTCTCTGTCCCCTCCAACAGTAAGTCCTGGGAAAGGACGCCAGGAGTCCTGACCTGAGCCCCCCACTTCTGCTCAGAGCACGCTTCTTCGCTTCCCTCAGAACTGTGGACCGAGGTTGGGGGGAGAGTGGGAGGGAGGTGTGTTACCAGAAGGCGAAGGCAAAGGGTTTCTGGGTGGACTTAGTGAAAACCCATCACTTCCCAGTGCTCATCCATGTGTATTCTTTTCCCAGAACGTGTTGGTCTGTTTTTAAGATGGCCCCATGTACCACAGTAAGGAGTCTCGTGTTGAGTTGTTAACATAACGCGATTTTCTGACACCCAGCTGAAAACTCACTCTCTCGTCCCCAGACGGAACCCCGAGTCACCTCCAACTCACACCCTAGCATCTCTGGGTGAGGTACCTTTCTTTTTGTCTGAAAGTGGCTGCTCAGGATACTACAATGTATGGGCTAGAAAGGAATTTATCCGCATCATGTTCATGTACTAAAGGAGTCCTGGGGGTGGAGTGGGCTACACAAGGGGCTGATAACCATAAGGTCTACGGTTTGAAACCACCAGCTGCTCTGGGGGAGAAGGGAGACTTCCTGCTCCTGTAAAGATGGACCTCTTCGGAGACCCCGCGAGGCAGGTCTACTTTGTCCTAAAGTCTTAATGTCCCCAGTCTGCGTTGACTTGACAGCAGTGGCTCTTGTATACTCAACATGCCATGCTGGGAGGAAACCCTTACAGGGGACACGGGGACAGGGGCGCACTGGCCCAGAGGTGTTGATGGAATAAGAGCCAACCGGCCTTGGTTTTAATAGTGGTGCTGGTGCAGCTATTTTTAGATTCTCTTTACACGCCATGGAATAAACTCCTGGGATCAGCTATGAGGGTGCCCATTCTCTCTTATGGGAGTCCTTAACTTTTGCCCCCTTGTCAGAGGATGAGAGGGATGATGGTATGCTCTGCCTGTGAAGGAAAGTCCACGTGAGATGTCAACTTTTGTGAGCATGGTTACAAGAACGTGGGCACTGTTAATGGAGTTGCGACCTTCCTGGGTGGTTGTGGGTGGATTCCTTGGGAACCTGGTGTGTCCGTTTTATTTCACGGGACCTCTTGAGTATTCTGATGATATAATCTATAGTTAAAATGTTTTTCTACTTTTATTTTATTTTTAAACATTTTATTGAGGGCTCGTGGCTTTTGTAATAACCCATACATCAACTGTATCAAGCACATTCGTACATATGTTGCCATCATCATTTTCTAGATGTTTACTTTCTATTGAGCCCTGATGTCAGCTCCTCTCCCCTCCCTCCCTCCCTACCCCTCGTGGCCCCATGATAAATTAGAAATTATTATTTTCATATCTTTAAAAAATATTTTATTATTTTAATTAAAACATTTTAAATTTTCCTATCTTACACCAATTGCTCACCCTTCCTCCATGGTTTCTGTTGTTCATCCCCCTGGGGGAGGGATGTGTGTGTGGTTATGTGTTGATCATCTTGATCAGCTCCCCCTTCCTCCCCTCCTCTCCTCACCTTTCCCCTGCTCTGCTGGTATTGTTATTCCCATTCCTGTTCCTGGATTCCATGTGTCCTGAGCTCTTATGTCTTATCTCTAACCTGTGCACATGCTCCAGTCCAGCCCGCAGTGAAAAGCAGTACTAGGGTCATGATAGTGGGGGGTGGGAAGCGTCAAGGAACCAGAGGAGTACTATGTGTTTCAACGGTGCTTTGCTGCACCCTGGTTGACTCATCCCTTTCCTGTGACCCCTCTGTGAGGGGAGGTCCCATTGTCGACAGATGGGCTTTGGGTCTCTGCTCCCACTCCCCTCATTCTCAACAATATATTTGTTTTGTTTGTTTGTTTGTTGTTTGTTGAAGGTCTTCTGATGTCTGTTACCCAGTCCCAGTGACAAGTCATGATCACACAGGCTGGTGTGCTTCTTCCATGTAGGCTTTTTGCTTCTCTGCTAGATGGCTGCTTGTTTAACCTCAAGCCTTTAAGACCCCAGACACTATATCTTTTGATAGCCAGGCACCATCCATTTTCTTCACCACATTTACTTATGCACCCATTTTGTCTTTAGTGATAGTGTGGGGGCAAGGGGGGGAGGGGGGAAGGGCCGCCGCAAAATGCCAGGTTGTTAGAACAAAGTGTTCTTGCATTGAGGGAGGGAATGAGCAGAGGCCCGAAGTCCATCCACCACCTCAGTGTATTGCCGTATAAATATATGTACATGGGCCAGTACCTCTTATTTTTATGATTAATGTGTTAACATATGTATAAACCTATGCTTATACCTTTATCCATATCTTTGCTTCCTATATCTTTCCTCTGTTTCCTTTCACCTTCCTCCTGCCCCACCATCATACTTGCCCTTCTTCTGCCTCTCAGTAATTTCTCTCAGCTAGATTGCTGTTGCTCCAACACCCCCAGGATCTCTACGTCCTCACTGTTGTTGATTTTAATTCCCTGGTTGTTCCCTGTCTATGGTGTTGCTTGCTCACAGCTCCCTTCCCCCACCTCCCTCTCCCCCCAGTCCCTCTGGGACCATGGGCCCCCTTGCTTTCTCCTCTAGCTTGCTTCCCATGCCTATCTTAGATAAGCAGGCAACCCAGCAATAACACAGAACAAGCAAAAAGAAAACAAAAGATTCGAAAGAGAAAAATGAAAATAAATCCCCCAAAACATTTTGCATTCAGATTTTGATTTTGTAGTTTCTTTATAAGGGACATATCCCCCTCAATAACCCTTACAGGATGTTTATTGCCTGGATGTTTATTACCTCTATTTAAAAGTGAATACATACACTGAGATGAGATTTTAAATGCCGTGCTGTAAGTGACCACAAAGTCAATTCCAACTCAGTGTGACTCAGTGTGACAAAGCAGAAGTGCCCCGTATGGCTTTCTAATACTCACTAGCATCGAGTCAGCCCAGACTGACAGCGACCAGAACTGCTCTCCTGTGGGCCCGAGACTGTACTTTTTTTTTTTTTTTTTGAGACTGTACTTTTTTACAGGACTAGAAAGCACCGACTTTCTCCTGCAGAATGACTGGTGGTTTTGAACTACCGATCTTGTCTCAAGGCAGGGTCCCTGGAAGTACGTACAAGGGGATTTGGAGGCACATGATTTATGAAGGATATGCCCGTCAGAAAAGGCTGGCTGACAAGGTGGCTTAGGTAAAGGGCAGCCTCTGCCTGACTGAGGGTGAGTTCTGGACTGTAAATTGAGTTTTGTATGCCTAGATTGGGCGGTGCTTGGCTACGTCTGTTGGTGAGGATGTCACCTCTCCGGCGAAGGACAATTCTCCAGAGAGCGTGCACATGAGTGTGGGCTAGTAAAAGGTAGTGGGGTGAGATATCAACAGTGTCCACAACAATCACAAAAAGGTGATTATTGTGTTTATGTATCCTTTTATTGTGGTTTGGGTGAAAGCTACAGAGAAAATTAGTGTTCCAACAATTTTCACACAAGAATGGCAATTCCGGCCATGTGTCCTCACTCTCCCCCCTTCTTCCCTGCTTTGCTGTGTCCAATTGTCCTTTTTTCTTGCCGATGCTGCCCTCTGAATTTGTATGGTTAATTTTTCAGAGGAATAAGCTCCTCCTGAGTGTTACTGTTCACTTTTAATGTTTCTCAGGAGTCTCATTGTTCACTTACAGACCTATCAGTTGTTTGCCTTTAAGACAATGCCCAGGGTTAGGTCCAGGTCCAGGTTTGAAGGGTGTTTAAAGGCTACAATCTCCATTAGACCAGTAAGTCTGGTCATTGTTGATGATTTTGAATTTGTTGAACATTTTTCTCCTATTCTGTCCAGGACCTTTTGTGGTTCCAATCAGTGTGGTTGGTAGTGGATTCTGAGCATCATCTAATGCTTCTCGGCTCAGGATAGTGAAGGCTGGAGTTGACTACAATCCATTAGCCCTTTGAGCTAATTGTTTCCTTGAGCCTTTGGTTTTTCTTCATTCTTCTTTTCCCCTCGACAGAGGAGACCAGTAGGTGCATCATAGACGGCCATCATTAGCTCATAAAGAGCTATTGAGAGAGAGAGAGAGAAAGGAAGAACGAATGAACGAAAGAAAGAAAATGCAAGATTAACCCCATGGAGGATGACTCTTTCTCCCCGGGGTCTACTACACTGCTCAGCCATTGAGCAGCTCACGTGAGATGGTTGACACATGTAGAAGCTTTGGCTCCAGGTCACAGAGCAACAGGTCCAGCTTACTTAGAATGGTGAATTATACTGTTTCTAAGCAGGGGACTCTTTATTTTTAAAATCACTTTATTGGGAGCTCTTACAGATATTATAACGATCCATAACTCAATTCGATCAAGCATGGCTCAGAGGACTCTTTATTTAGAGTGTTTTCCTTCTATTCATTTTAAAAGCAGGGGTCTTTTGCAAAACGAAGGTCGAAGTCTTAAATATCCCTCCACTCGTGCTGCTGCTTGGTCTGAGGTTTTCAAGGCACAGAGGAGTCCTCACCTGGACCACTGACTTACTGTCAGATCCTTGAGGGGCGACGGTGTTGTTTTGAACTGGAGGATTTGGGACTGGAGAGCAGACTGCAGTGAGTGCCTGGGGATCCCCTGGCTTCCCGCCAGCCTCCCCCTGCCCGTTCTCTCAGGGGATTCTCTTCAATTGTTATGGAATGTTCTTGTGGCTCTTGAGACTTGAGGAGACAGGGTTGTGAGGTTCTGTTGCTCTGGTAACCAGTTTGCTGGAGTTTCTGTGTAGGAGCTGCCGAGGTTCTGAGAAGAGGCAAGCCTGTTTGTCCCGGTCTTGGAGGAAAGATCCTGCAGAAGCAGGGCAGAAAAGGCACCGAGGCAAAGCCATCGTCTTGGTTCTGCTTCTTCACCGCAGCTATGCCCACCCTTTCAGTGTTCATGGACGTGCCCATGGCCCACAAGCTGGAAGGCCGTTTGCTAAAGAGCTACAAACAAGATGCTAACCATGACAAGATGTTCCTGGCCTATAGAGGTAGCTGCCTAGTCTGGGTGGTGCACCACTGTTATTGTTCCTTACCATCAGTGGGTTCCCTTTCATGGGGACCCTGTCGTTGTGGAGTGGGAGTGCTCCTTAGGTGTTTTAGGGATAGCACTTTTCGGAAACAGATTGCCAGACCTGGCTTTAGAGATGCCCCTGGCTGGGATCGAACCACCCACCTTCTTGCTACTAGTCAAGTGCTTACCATTTGCACAACTCAGAGACAAGACTTATTACACCTTATCCATCGAGTAAGTTGAGTGGAATTCCAGCTCATAGCGACCCATTTGGACAGGGTAAAACCATCCCATAGTTTCCAAGTTGCCAGTCTTCCCGGAAGCAGATGGTCACATCTTTCTGCCCCAGCGCAGGGGGTGAGTTGGAACTGATGACCCTTCAGTTAGCAGCCGAGGGCTCAACAACTGCTAGGGCTCCTTAGTATATCTTGTTGTTGTTGTTGTTAGGTGTCATCCATGGAGTTGGTTCGAACCCATAGCAACCCTGTGTACAACAACAAACCACTGCACGGTCCTGTGCCATTGTCCTAATTGTTCCTCTGCCGGAATCCATTGTTTCCGACACTGTGTCAGTTCATTGCATCGAGGGCCACCTGCTTTTTGGTTGCCCCTCCCCTTTGCCAAGCATGATGTCCTTCTCCAGGGACTGGTTTCTCCTGACAGCACATCCAAAGTATGTAAGGCGAAGCCTTGCCACCCTTGTCCCTAAGATGCTCTCTGGCTCTACTTCCTCCGGTTTGTCCTTTTAGCAGTCCATGGTACTTTTAATATTCTTCTCCAGCACCACAAGTCAAATGCACCAATTCTTCTTCAGTCTTCCTGATTTAATGTACAACTTTCACATGCATATGAGGCCATTGAAAATAACATGGCCATTGTCCTCAAAATAACATCTTTGATTTTTCGTACCTTGAAGTCTGGGGCAGCAGATTTACCTGATGCAATTTGTCTTTTGCTCTCTTGACTGCTGCTTCCATGAGCATTGATTGTGGATCCAAGCAAGAGGAAGTCCTTGACCACTTCAACCATTTCTCCATTTATGATGACGTTACCTATGGGTTCAGTTGTGAGGATTTTGGTCTCCTTTGCATTGAGTTGTAATCCAGACTGAAGGCTGCTACCTGGATCTTCATCAGCAAGTGCTTCAAGTCCTCCTCAATTTCAGCAAGCAAGGTGTTGTCTTCTGCACACCACAGGTTGTTAATAAGCCTTCCTCCAATCCTGATGCCACACTCCTCTTCATCTAGCCCATCTTCTCTGACGATTTGCTCAGCACACAGATTGAATAAGTATGATGAGAGCACACAGCCCTGCCACACCCCTTTCCTGATTTTAGACCATGGACTAGTCCCTGTTCTGTTTACACAATTGCCTCTTGATCTATGGACAAGTTCCGCAAGAGTACAGTGAAGTGTTCTGGAGCCCCCATTCTTCCCCCTCAAGTTTATCCATAGTTTGTTATGATCCACACAGTCAAATGCCTTTGCATAGCCAATAAGACACAAGCAGACACCTATCTTTCTGGTAGTCTCTGCTTTGAGCCAAGAACCATCTGACATCAGCAGTGACATCCCTTGTCCAAGTCCTCTTCTGACTCTTGCCGGAACCTCTGGCAGTATGTCTTAACTACCCCTAAAAAAGAAAGTCAGTTGTGGTAGGGGCGGCTCTGGGTGATGGGTACCCTGCCCGCATGTGCCAGAGTAGATGTCTGCAAGGGGACTTTCTTTTTGAACGTTTCATTGTGCATGAGGATAAAGTTGACATAGTAGATGCGTTTCCCAATCAATGCTTCATGCACAAATTGTTCGCGGCATTGGTTGCGCTCCTGGTGATGAGTCCACATTCTCCCCATGGGCTCTCTGTTTCATTCATTCAACAAGTTGCCCTGTCCCTACCTGCTTTCTCATTTCTGGTTTCCAGCAAATACTTTTCAGTCTCACATACTTGATTGTTCTAAGGGGCACATTCATCTTGACCCAGCTGAAAGGTGGCCTCCAGGAGTGTCTTGAGTTTTAAGTTAGAAGGTTGACTTAGGGCAACAGTCTTGCTGATTCATCTAGTCTCTTTCAGTCGGATTTTTTTTAAATCAATTTATTGGGGCTCATAAAATTCATCACAATACATAGATCAATTGTGTAGAGCGATTTTTTTTTTAAGAGGAGGCTTTGGTTTGTGTGGGCTCTTAGTTCTTGGAACTAATTGTTTCCTTGAATCTTTGGTTTTCTTTATTCTTTTTTGAGACCAGTAGTTGCTCATTAGATGGCTGCTTACGTGCCTTTAAGACACCAAAGATAACTCTCCAGACTAGGATACAGAACATAATCTTGTGAATGTTTTGCAAATTGGCTTAGATGACCCTGGCGCTACTATGGTCCTTAGCCTTCCAAGTCAGTAAGGTTTTTATTCTTTTTTTTTTATAATTCTAAGTTAATAGTTTTATTTTTTTAGGTTATTTTTGTTTGTTTTAGTTTTTGCTTGTTTTGTTATTAAATACTTTTATTGGGGGTTCTTAGATCTCTTAGCACAATCCATGCATTCATCCATTGTGTCAAGCACATTTGCACATAAGCTGTCATCATCATTTTCAAAGCATTTTCTTTCTACTTGAGCCCTTGATATCAGCTCCTCATTTTCCCCTTTTCTCCCCTGCCCTCCCTCCCTCATGAACCCTTGATAAGTTATAGATCATTATTCTCATATCTTACATCGCCCTCTGTCTCCCTTCACCCACTCTTCCATTGTTCATCCCCCTGGGAGGGGCTTATATGTTGATCCTTGTGATTGATTTTCCCTTTCTCCCCCCACCTTCCCCTAATCCTTCTGGTATCTCTATTCTCATTGTTGGCCCTGAGGGGTTTATCTATCCTGGATTCCCTGTGTTTGGGGCTCTTATCTGTAGCAGTGTGCAAGTTCTGGTCTAATCTGATTTGTAAGGTAGAATTCAGGTCATGATAGTGGGGGGAAGGAAGCGTTAAAGAACTAGAGGAAAGTTGTGTTTCATCAGTGCTATACTGCACCCTGACTGGCTCATCTCTTCCTTGTGACCCTTCTGTGAGGGGATGTCCAATTGTCCACAGATGGGCATTGGGTCTCTACTCCATGCCCCCCCCCGCCCCCATTCACATTGGGTATGATTGTGTTCTGGGTCGTAGATGCCTGATAACTGATCCCATCGACACCTCGTGGTCACACAGGCTGGTGTGCTTCTTCCATGTGGGCTTTGTTGCTTCTCAGCTAGATGGCCGCTTGTTTATCTTCAAGCCTTCAAGACCCCGTATTGTTGATTTTTCAGAGCTAAATCACCAGGTTTTTCTGAGCTGCCTGTAGGTGGCCTCAAAGTAGTCCCAAGATTTTGGTTAGCAGTCAAGCACCTTCACCGTTATCACCACTTAGGGACTTGTTGCTGTCCCTCCCAATAAACTCTGCCATCAAGAAGATTCCACCTCTTTCTCCAGTGGAGCATCTGGTGGTTGTAAACCGCTGATCTTTTGATTAGCAGCCCAACATGAAACCACTACACCACCAGGGTTCTGAATGGCCCTAACACCACCACCACCACCACCACCACCACCACCACCAACAACAACAACAACAACAACAACAACAACAAACCAAACTCATTTCTATCAAGTTAATTCTGGCTCATAGTGACCTACAGGGCAAGGTAGAACTGCCCCTGTGAATTTCTGAGACTGTAACTTTTTTTTTTTTAATGACTGTAACTTTCGTGGAGTAGGAAACCCAGTCTTTCTCCCGTAGCTGTTCCTAGGAGGGCAATATTATTCCACTGCTGCAGGGCACAGGGAGGGATGACCCAAGTCTTTGTACTTTTCTTGCTAACAAAATTGCCCATGTTTGAGTGGGAGGAAAGATTGGAGAATGTCCCCAGGTCGTTCTATGCCCTCTGTCCTCCTCTGGGGACTTCTAGGCATGAGGCAATCACATCTATCTTTCCCAGCTCTATGCTGTGGGGCCAGCTTGGGCACTGCACGTTCCTCAGCCTCTTCCTTTTCTCTCGCTCTTCTGGTCCTGAACTGAGAATGGTCCAAAATGACCCCTTCCGGTGTGCAGCCAGCGCCCACCGCTGTGGAAGTCAGAGCCGCCTTTGCTTAGTCTTATGTAGCTGTAACTTTCCCTCATAGATAACTTTTGGTAAAATGGCCTAGGTTCATTGTGTCTGATAGAAAAAGCCAAGATTTCTACACCCTCAACAGACTGCATATTGCTTTTGAAAGAAAGAAAGGATGTTGTCTTTTCATAGGCAACTCTCCAAGGCCCCAGAAACCCAGGGCAGCGAGGTTGTTTGTGGGATACCCACAGAGCCCACACTCCAAGGCCCTGTGGCCAGGCTTCCGAGCTCCTGCCGCATCTTCCCTCACAGTCTGCCTGAATGAAGACGGGGACCCATGGGTTTCTCCCGTGGTGAAAAAAATCCTACTGCAGATCGCACAGGATCCCTCCCTGAACTATGAGTACACGGACGGAATGGGCATGAAGTCGTTCATCCAAGCATCCTTGGAACTGCTCTTTGGGAGGCACAGCCAAGCCATTGTGGAGAACAGGGTAAGAAGGGGACCCTTCCATTCCTGGCCCATCTCACTGGGAATGGAGATCTGGGGTTGGACCATCTTCAACCTGCAAGGGATCTTGGATGTCCGCCCCC